ATTCATGTGTAGGAAAGTGTATGCCTTATTTGAGCAAGGTCCCATACATTACCATGTACATGTACATGTAGGGGAGGTAATATTCATATGCCTATCACACCAGAAAATGGATGTTATACATGAAGCTTTTGATTCAAACAATGAAAATGAAACTGAAATAGGCGACCGATCCCATTGCAAACCATCAATAATGGTCACTTGGCAAGAAAAAACAAAAATAAATAAATATTGAAAACAAAGTATCACATCAAGTGCAAAAATTAAATGGTTAAAGATTTGAGAATCCATCTCCAAACATAATAATTTTGTTTGTTATCTTGGAATCAGTCCTTTACCCAGCTTACTATAAATGAGCAAATTATCCCAAGGTACCCTGTACGTTACTTGGGATGGTGGATTCTGTGGAATATGTAGCTTAATATTTTAACCCTAATCTTGAAAAATGTGTTCAGATGAGTAAGAAAGTCAAATAATTTTCTTCCAGAAACATTAACATTGACCCCTTGGTAGAAGAAAAAAGTTCTCAAGGAAACACAAGCATGATTTATAAAAGTCAAAGTATTCTAGAAATTACTTATTTGACATTTATCACATAAGTTTGTGGCCCAGAACCCGTTACAAGATTGAAATTCATTTTCCCACACGACGCACACATACTGTAGAATCATGGCAAAAAGATATACTTGTATGCCACCATGAAGAAAAGACAGAGCAGAAATTGCACAATTAATATCTTCCGAAAGAAGACAACCGCAATCAGCGCCTAGTCTACACCGGCAGACCAACTTTCTTGGTCTTCCTGACAAAAATGCTAGGACATCTTCAAACATGCAAGCATCAAATTAAGCAACATGGATGAACATTTCCTCAATATCTTTAACATTGTTCAAAATGAGTAGTCTCAGCCTCACAGATTCTCCAATGGAGGTTACGCAGAGGGTGGGAGTGAACCAAAGGGGCGCCATGGCCCGTAGGGTAGACTAGACGGTCTTTTCCGAAAAAGCTGGGGGTCTTTTCTGTCTTCTTGTGAGTGTAGCAGGCTGATGGCAGAGACCTGATTCATTTCCGATGCGTTAGCGGGCCGGGAACGGAAGGGATTAATCCGGCTCCCTTTTCGGTGATTCAATCTGCCTCATTAGAGTTGGTGGGTTACGAGACGAACGAAGACAGGCAGAGGACAAGCAAGGATAACCCTCACAGGCTCACACAGCAGTCATCACAAGGGTACTTCAAAAGTCCAAATGAAGAATAATAGCACTTATTTCAACCATTGACAGTGACTACAAGAATTGAATGTACTAGCTTACGTCTACAATGTACATGTAGTTTACCAAGAAAATCTTTTTTTTTAATGAATAAAACCACTAAAGATTTATAATTGTTTCAAAACTTGTTTCAAAACAGACTACCAATTCTCGCCAATAACGAACAGTAACAGGAATCGACCAACAAGGGGTGCTACATACAAAATTTTTAAAAAATGATAATAAAACCTGCTTACCACCGAAGTCTCTATTAAAGTGCTCAAAAATATAGTTAGGGTTGCGGTTTTGGTTAGAGCCCGAGGTAAAGTGTTTCTACCTGGGTAAAAATCAAGAATTCTTAAAGTGCACCAATTACCAAAACATGAACATGGGGTTGAATGTTTTCGTTTATTATTTTTTATACTTTTGAAACGTTTACCTACAGAATGTCAGGTAAAAAAAAACAATCTGAGGTTGATTTTAAACTTTCTAGCTACATGTTTATACAGTATGTATACATGTACACAAATAAAAAAAATTTCAGGTGATTTGCACACTTTTGGAATCCTTGTTTAAGTGATTCGACACACGCTCTAACAACGTACGCTCTACGGCAGTTCTCATTTCTCTCTTGGGTGAGGAGTGGCAAATGTACATTGTAGATTAACATCATGCCCGAGAGGACATGGATACCATGCAGGGGGATTTGAACTCCTAACTTTTGCATCTCCAATCAATTGTTTAAAAAAAATCTACCAATAACTCAGAGAAGAACAACAAATGTTTTGGACACTTTGGTGGGGTTTGACAATAACAGTGATTATCTAGGGATCGAGTGTAAATGGGCCTCGAGTCTCTGGACCCCAAAAGTTTAGAAGTTTTTACAGAGGGGCAATGAAAACGGACCCTAAACATTAGAATCAAGACAGCCAGTGCAAAACTAGACAAAATCCTGACGTTTTAAAGATTGTACATAATTTGTGTAACTCTAGCCTACTGTACTGTATGAAAATCTTCAAAACTTCTTTTCAAATTCGATCAAAAAACTTGTAAATGTATGACTGACGAGGACTAGCCCGGGAGGGGTGAAAACGTTGGGGAGCGAGCGGGCTGCACCGGAAAGCTGTGGCGTCTAGCATAATTTACTGGTTTGTATGACCTCATTCTCCGAGACCTGACAGACGAGAGACAGGGATAGACACGCACTACTCTAAACTCCGCTCTATGAAATACATCCTGCTTTGGAACATTGTGCCCCCGTTCTTCGCTCCTTCCTTCCTCCAAACTCCTGTGTCATAGGCCTTGTCATATTTCAAAACACGAGCAAAGTCTAGTCTCGTTTTCGGTCCTTCAGCGAAAGGATAGGTTCCTGCCGAGCTACCACAAAGTTGAGTTGAGTCGAGTTGTGGTTTTATTATCCAAATATTCAAATACAGTAAAACAATAATAAATGTATGTTTAACAAATATCTTGATTGAATAACAGGGACCAGAAAATACCATAAAATGTTAATCATGTCTGGTACCTTTAAAGTACATGTACTGTACCTGTACCGTATCTCAACATTAAACAATTTGTGTACCGTATATTGAATACAGAATGACAAAAATGTTAAATTATTTTTGTTTGAATCATTGAATACTTCCCCAAACTTAATTTACTCATTATCAACAAAATATTTGTCGTAAAACAAAAGTAACTTAAGTGTACAGACAGATGTGTGATGAGCTTAAGGGTCTTGTTATGAAAGACTACAGCACATGTAGAAGGCTCAGACATTCAAGATTACGGGGTATGTGCAGGAATGGCATCGCACACCGATATTGCTAATTTTAGAGGCAAATAGATCTTTCTGTCGTATTCGAGTGTAATAACATCCCATACATATTTTTAGTAGTGCCCCTACAGAGAAATCACTTACAATTTTACAAACAAACTTTGGGAAAACCGGAAGGTAATAATATTTTTTTCATAAAATTTTGTATACACTGCAGACTTAGTGATTCCAAACATATCAGACATTCATAGCTTTCTGATAGATAATTCTGATTTTTTTTTTTTCCATTTCGCTATTGTTTATCCCATTTTCTGCTTTAATACAAATGAACTTTTTACAAGCATTGGAAAGCCCTACATGCTGATGTATGGGAATTTCACACTGATTATATTCTACTGATATTTTACTCAAAAAGAGGAAAATTACTAACTCTTTTTGGCAAACCTCAATGAGATTCTCGTTGCTCAGTCACATCAGAAGTTTGGTGTACTGAAACTTTTGATTGCACGTGTTGCCGTACTTGTGCGTAGCTGAAGTATCTGCGTAGCTTTAGGACCCTCTAACATACATGTGTAATTGACCTGTTTGACTGTTTACATATTTAAACACTAAAACAGGTCCATCGTACAAAATGCGAACAACACTTACTTACTCTCTACTGGTAAATTAAATACAATTTTCCTTTGGATACATTAACAATTAGGGTCAAAAGCTAATATAGATTCTTTGCCATTTGTATGCATAAACATCAAACATCAGTAACTTTCCTTCTTTCCTTCAATCAATTTCAGACATCCTTGGAATTCTGAAAAAATTGGAGATCCTATATTTGTGTTTGGTGTAGGAAACTAGTATGGTACAAGTTACATGTAGAGGTCTACATCATGTTCCTGTTTGATAAACTGACAACTGCATCTGGACAGGGTGTTGTGTGTCCAGACAGTTTACAAAGGTTGGATTTTACGCATTGAATAGCACCAATTTACAATGTACATTGTGAAAACAACAGTCTACATTGCGAAAGATTCAAAGAACATTGCCTGCGATGTTGTTCAAATCAATTCGTCTAAAAATCTGTCTTGAATAACACACAACACACAAGCCATCTATAGCTTATAGCTGATAGAGGTTTTATTGTGAAGGTGTCAATCTCCAGATCAAAAGACGAGATGAAGAATGATGAGGAGTTAAAAATGTGAACAAGACAAAATTAATTCCAGATCCATTTCCAATTCCAGATCAAAGTAAATCATCAAATTCAATGAACAGTCTAACTGGCAATGTCATGACAATGATGACATATTTTGCTTTAATTTGATGAACTGTCTTTAATGACTCATTCAATTTTATAAATTTAAAAATAAGGGAGACATCGAGTCTAGACTCATGAGAGTTGCCAGTTGATTCCGTCCAAGTTGGACCGAGAAAAAAAATCAAACTCAGATCAGAAAGAAAAAAAAATCTGCATTCTAGATCTACAACTATTCAACACAATGAGGATTGGTCGCATGAATACAAGTAACCAACTGAGATGAAGTCTAAAAGATAGAATCTGACGAAAAATGAAGCTGTTTACATTATCAAATGGGTTAACATGCAGACATTTCATTACAGCCCCATGCACCCACTACCATGCACCACGTTGCCTGCCATTGACTCCATCACACAAACCTTCCCACCACGAGAAAAAGCGCAGAAAAAAGGGAATATTAATGATTTCTTTAAATGTACAGTGTGATATAATTGTTAAAGAATAAACTTTGATTTTATTTTTAGAATCTGGTCTTATAAACGTGAAGTATCATTGAAAGTTTACAAGTCAATCGTGGTCATTCAAATCAGCTGTTTTGCTGAGCGCAAAATACGAATCACACACAGATCACACACGAAATTCAAATCGGAAGCGCCCTCACAATTTTCAAATTATCTCACGAAACAGTGGAAATTTAGATGAGGATTGAGAAAAACTAAATACTTACCAGTGTAATCGTACTATCCACAGAATATTCCACGTCAAATCGAGAAAGAATCCATAAATTATATTCCAAGAAAGGGTGAAAGCCTGTCGGCTATTGGGGTCATTCAGAGACGATCCACTCGGCGACAGGCGCGCGAAAATGAAAATACATGAACGTGAGAAGACGCAGTGAGGGGGAAATGATCATGCAGAAAAACCGTTAATTTTCGCTAAAAATCCACAGAAAATTTACCAGATCGTAATTGTAAATATATTTCCAATCCATTGAGAACGGTAATCCTAGACGACAACAGTCAATAATAAATCCATTGATGATAATTCTCTATCCGGTCATCGAGGTCGGGTCGAAACAAATATGGCGGAATCTCGGTGCGTTGTTCTTTATTCGAAATTTCCTCTTCAGCGAACGATTGACGCGCCCGGCAGGTCGAGTTGTCGTAGTAACTGTCAATCAATATGCAGATCCTTTCAAAATGCCGACGCCCCGCCTACTCGCTATAGCAACTGTTATGCAAATGAGGCGAAGCGACCGTCGAATCGATGATGTCATACGCAATGGCATGCAAATATCCCGGATGCTGGGTCATGTGACCACGTCTCGTTCGAGGCTTTTCCCGCGAAAACTAGCGTCCTTTCAAATGTGCGCGAAAATAGTAAACGTAGGATGTCTACGTGTACGCTGCGAGTTGGAATCTTCAGTGATCCGAATTGGGTGCACGTGCGTTGTTTTGGAGCAAGGCGATTGTAAACAAACTGGGAAGTGGGCCCCTCTAAAACACAATTTGGTTTGATGGAAAAGAACAAGCTCGTCCCTTCCACTTTCATTGCGTTAATGAATATTGCAGTTATGAGTCATGTTTTGTCATTACATTTAGTCATCAAAGTAGTGATGACTATCACTTGTTTAAAAGTCATCCATACGGTATGTTTTTTGGTTCCTTGATATCACGACATATGTAGTCCTGTCTTGCCAAACGAGTTTTCCTGGAAATCTTGTGATTCATTTTTTCCAAAGCTCTTCCAACACATAACTTATAGTGTCAAAATGTAATACGTTGCTTGCATTTACATTTCATGATCTGCAGTGAAAGTGATATATCTCTTTAAAATAAATAATAATTGAATAAGATTGTACTGGACATCCAACCGTTCATGTAGAATCATTCACATTAGACTACCCAATTTTGTTACTACGATTTCATAAGTCTATGCCTAATTTGTTAACATAATTAGTAGATTAATTTTGTTTAATATGCCCACAGCTATACGTTACCCTGGCTTAATTAATTATGTCTAGGCTACAGACACAAATCTAAATTTAGCCTCGCCGCCCAAAGTTGATTAAAACTATTATTAGAAAACATGAATGTTGTAAAGTGTGCTGTAAAGGCCTGCAGAGAGCTAGTAATCTATTGAACAAAATTTAATTTGCATATTGCAAGGACTCATCACTTGCGCTGACCACAACTGATCGATGCACTTGACCGACCTCGGGAAGAGTTGCCGCCTCCATGATGTAAACAGAGTAGGCGTGTCGTCGAGGGGCGTGTCGAGTTGAGGTCAAGGAACTTAGCAAAAGTGCGCGCTTTATTTTGACGAGATGTTTGAAATTCAAATTGCTTGCCCCGCCCTCTTATTCATTATTCATGGCATGCGGTGTTTTAAAGCCAAACGCACAGTATGCCGTAGAGGTCTATATTTATTTAATTTTTTTTTCTGAATAACACTAGGCCTACACAATTTGTAAGGAATATATTTATTCTATTTGATTTTGACAACTGCCTATGATTTTATTTAACCAGATATTCTAGAACGGTTTTGAAATTGAATTGATTTACTTTCTGTGCTTTTTTGGTTGTTTTGTTCAATCCTATACATTTCTTTTTTTTAGTCTTGATGGCTCTTGCTAGCCTTCAATACTAGAAAAATAGAAAAATAAAGAGTCTCCTACATCTCTCTCTCTCTCCCTCTAACCTCTCCCCTCCCCCTCTTCCCCTCTCTCCCTACATTTGGTCTGAAACAACATAAGAAAATGTAAAATGTGCCCCTGTTATAAAAGCAACAACCTTCTTCACATTTCAGTTTTTTATTATAAACTATACTTATTAATATATTATTTGTTTGTTTAAAAATCATTTATATGATCATTATTTATTTATTTATTTATTCATTTATATAGTTATTTATTTATTCACTTATTTGTTCATTCAGTTACTCATTGTTTATTTTAATCTCTTTATAAAACAATTTTGTTTAGTCCTGCATGGATTCACCCCCTCCCTATATACTATGGCATAGATGTCTCCTATAGAAGTCTGCTACGACCATTGAAAGAGAAGACCCCCCTCAAAACATAAACAAAAACAAAACAAAAAGGAATATTTATAAATGATGAAATATATCATTATAATAACTAGATCTATAATAATATCAATGATAAAAGTTACATGAGTAATAATGATAATTATCATGGTATTAATTATAGGCCTAAAACAATAATAAGATCATTAATGATAATAGTAAAATTTATAATAAAAGTAATATTAATAATATTAATTGTAATAACAATAATAATGTTAATGTCAGTAACATGAATAATTATAATTAGCATAATAATGATAATATTAATGTCACTAGTAACATGAATAATTATAATTATCAAAATGATAATATTAATGTCACTAGTAACATGAATAATTATCAAAATGATAATATCAATAGTAGTAACATTAATAGATACAAAATAATAATTAAAGATTGAAGGAGGAAGAAGATAGAAGAAAAGGAAACAAATATAATATAGCGTAGGCCTAATGAGAGAAGAAAGGGGCGAAATCAAGCCATCGGTGAGAAATACCCTTTTTGCCCAAATTGCATGTAGAAAAGTGACGGTCGGCAGTTTCTAAGCCAAATTAGGGGCGTGGCAATTAAATGAGGAATAACTTTTTTTTTCCTTTCAAGAGTTTCTCAACTCATATACTACATAGTAGCACAAGCAGGCGCGTACACAGGGGGTGTTTGGTATTTGTATGTGTGTAACCCCCCATCACCCCCCATCATCCCCCCCCCCCCCCCCCCCCCCCCCCCTTTGGATTTTTTTTTTTAATTATTAAAAAAGAAAAAAAAAAGAAAAATTATTCCCATGGCTGACCTAAAAAGGTGACCCCCCCCCCCCCCCCCCCCCCCCCCTAGTGGAGCGAAATGTCACATTTTCACATATCAATTCCTTCGCGCTCCTTTTGGGAGATCAACCGACCCGCGCGCATTTTATATTACATGACATATGGTAAAATTCTCGACATCTTTTTACACTTTTCTTTACCATTAAAAATCGAAATTGAGAATAATATCCTCAATCGAGATATGAGAAGAAGGAAACATTTCCTTTACTTTCCATGTAAAACCATGCCCTTACTTGAAAAAAAACCTCCGTCACTTTGACGTTGAACTTTACAATCCATTTAAAAAAATTACTCTCTCATACACAATGTCAATGCAGGCCTTAAATTTCAATATTTTTAGGGCAAGGCCACTTTTCTGTAGGGCACATTCCTATATTACAGCACAAATAGGAAGAATTGGAAAGGGCACAAAAAATCTCCAAGGCCAATGAGAGGGGCATTGAGGCCAAACAAGGGGCATCCAAGGCCATGGCCTTGGTGGCCTTGGATTAATTTAAGGCCTGTCAATGGAGCGGTCGCACTGTGCTCGATTGCCTTTCAATAAACCAATCTTTAACTTTGCAGCAACGCGTTTTGCGTCAAATTTGTAAATCCTCAATCACAGACAATGACATAAGATACGTAAGCTTTTCATACATATAAATTTCATTTTGATTGATTCATTTTTAGCTCCGTCAATTTTCATGTCGAATCATGCTTCATGTCCCATTTTAGAAGCCCGACCCAGGGTTTTGTGCCAGCTAGCCCTGTACTGTATGCATGTACGTAATGCTATGCATACACATATAACTGAACATGCATAAGTACAGTACATGTACACACGCAGCGCAGCGCGTACGAGCGCACTGCACTACATTTCATTGGGTCAGTACCATTATGAAAATAGGGGAACAATGAGTGGGATGGGTTTAGTGCCGTCACAATAAACTTGCGCATTACACGCGTACGTATAATTAGAGCAATTTATGCACCCCCCCCCCCCCCCCCCCCCAAAATAATGAATACAGCCCGACCTCTCTACACACAGAACTGCACAGATACCGCACAGTCCGGTCAAGGCGGTACGCGTAGCGTTAAACTGCCAAATTTACAGAAATTGTGAGGAGCGCTTTTGCTATGAAAGGAATTGATATGAATTTCGAGACCAAAAAAAAAAAAAGTGTCCGCTTACCCCCCCCCCCCCCCCCCCCCCCCGCTTATTTCAACGGGCTGAGTCGTTGCGAAATTTTCGGCCCGATTTATAAATGCTTAACCCCCCCCCCCCCCCCTTGAAAAAATCCTGCGTACGCGCCTGAGCACAAGTAAACAAAATACATTACTCCAAATCACTTTTTAAACACTTTTTGTAACATACATGTATATCAATTTCCTTATTGTTCTTAAAGGTATTAACAAAGTTTTGGTATGGTCATGAATTTGGTTAAAATGAACATTATTGGAAGCATAATTATGCGATCCTACAATATGAATTGATCGTTGTCGCGGTTGAAATCGAGGCTAAAGTTATGAAATTGTAAATAATAAACTCGTTATGTTGTACAGCTTCCTCTCAAGGTCAAGATATTAATTAAGCTATTACACAATGTTTATTGACTAAAATCGACCGATGAGCTTTTCCCGTTTGGAAATTATATATCACAACTACATATTCTGAGATTCTTATGGTCGCATGCATGCAGCTACCATTGTACGGCCGTATGCGCTATTTGAAATTTATCAAGATTTACCGGGAGCACCGGGAGCACCGGTAAATTTTTATATTCAATTTTTCTCGAAAGCAGAAGTGTTTTATGAGGCTAAATGTTCTGGTGCTTATAATACATCCACAGGGGCATCCAAATATATCAACATTATAAAGAATCACTATCAACCCAATTTTCAAAATTTTCCCAAAACTTTGTACCCACTGTCTTTTAACCATTTTCCTATAATTAATCAAATTACGTTTTAAAGCAATTAATCCCTGTTTTTTTCATTTTTTTTAAAACCAAGTTTAAAATGAGCAAATGTAGGTTACATATTTTTATATTTGCATGATTATATACATTAGTTTGCAAATAACAAGATGGTGTTAATGAGATACAGAAGTTTTTGAGGCTTATAACTTATAACTCCAAAACAAATCTCGATGTCACGAAAATGTTGTTTTGTTATATTTTTGGACCGCAACCAATCATATACATCATTCCAAAAAGCAACTATATATTCACATCTTAGAAATAGATGAACGAGGGTTTGGATGTGGGTTTTACAGAAATTACAAGTTGGTGTTAATCTTATATAAATGTGCATAGCGCAATGTCTTGGTTTTGAACCCTGGA